TAAACAGGATTCTTATCAGTCTCTGAGATTTCTTATTCCACTAACAACACTTAAACATGTCTGAATTTTTCAGCATTTTCGTATTCATATCTTGCGAGGGCATTCATGAGACTATGAAATGGATAGGATTATATATTACCATGTTTTACCAATACCATTTCTACCGACTAGACCATACTTTTAACCATATATCAATTATAAAGATGTGTCTTCCAATAATGCTCTGCCTCCCACAATTATTGATAATTTATCGATTACAATATCCAATTTCTTGCCATCTTAATCTGCTTTGCTGTGTCTCACTCTTGCTGGAGGAATATGTGTTTTTTAATCCTTAATTGTTTTAATATGTTTCTCATATGCTTCCTAAGCTTTAATGTCCTCCTTCTATCTCAACTTTTCCTTACGGTCCTTCTTCTAAATTTATTCGTTTGTGTTTGTTGCCACTTATTCTTTAAATAAATCCTCGAATTTAATGATTTCCTAAATGATAATATTTCAGTCATACAGTGTCTTTTTCCAAATAGAAATCAAGCTCAGAGAGTATAACTTCATCTGGCAATCGCTCAGCTGCTAAAGTGTGTTTCTGCTCTTTTTTTATTAGTTACTCTTTTTCAAGAGCATCAAATATTTTTTGGCAAATTTTATTAATTTCTTATGTGGTCAATTTTCCTCCGTTTCTAAAATACTCCCCCATTAACTCTTAAACATCCGCAGCATTCTAGGGTGTATCTTCAACTAACATTCCTGACATGTGATCGACACATTGCTTTGTCAATCGACAAACCCCTGGGATTTAATGCAATAATAATTCACTTATTTTTTCTTACATTTTAAATATGTTAATTATATATATAATTGTATAGTTCAAAAAAGGAATAAATTGTTTCTTCAAAATAATTTGAACACATTTATTTGACAATTATATTAATTAATTAAATAAAACTACCCTCACACTAATTATTCAGCACAACCTCTTGATACCAATGAATTCAAAGAATATTATTCTCTTTTTTTAAGATATTACAATGTTATCTGGTATAACGATTTTTAATAGTAAATTCTAAATTCTATTTTCAATTATAAAATTAAACTATTTAATATTATTCAATAAAACATAGGTCCTGAATTCCTTAATTCTTAATCGTATTATTAAAACATAAACATATATATGAGAATAAAGACTTATTTTTTCTTAAGGTACAAATGGCAGTTAAACTTAAATATTTGGAAAAGACTTAGTATAGAGATCAAAATTAAAAATGTAGGAGACCTAAGTGTTTAAGCCTTGATTCCAATATCATACTTAATTATTCTACATAAGAATGTCAAAAGAGTCGTGTTATTCACTTATTAAACATTTCTTGATATCTTTAATGATATTCATTATCAAAAACCTTTGGTGACTCTACATAGAATAATTAATAAAAAACCTTTTTTTGTAAATTGGATTTTTTGGATATTGTAAATGAATAGGATGGATGACTAATGATTATTTTGTTTAATTTCTAGAAAATAATTTGAATTCACCGATTTTAATAAAGATGTCACGAAATAAAAAGACTTGGATTTAAACAAAGTTGATTACGCACATGAAAACGACTTAATATCTTACCACATGAAAGGAGGGGGCCTTTAGATACTCATAGGTAGATGTGATTAATATTCAAAGGAAAGGAATATTATAGAATTTTATGATTGACCAAATAAGAAAGACAAAAGAGTTACAAGAGGCCGAAACCAATTTAAAAGGTAATTATTATTTCCTATAATTTCATAGAAAAAAGGTAGATTTTCTAGAGATCTCTGACCAATTATATATAGGAACTTAAGGAAAAATTATGATTCTACTATTTATTACCCATTAATATAACTCATATAAATTTCGATTTATTTTTACAATTCCAATTTACTATCATGAAAATAAACTAAACTTCAAATATTGACGTTAATATTTATATTGTCAATTAGATTTTTATATGGTTGGCCTAATTCTCAATAATTTAGTTATAGAGCCTATTACCCACTTCTTATGTTTCGAACACTTTGACGTGCTCTCCACATCCTATTGATATCAACATTTTAGTTTATAACATAAACTGTAACGAACAAATAAAATATTAAGTGTGATTACAAAAATATAGTCTATATATATCATAAATTAATAATTAGATATTATTTTTTGGCTTGTGACTTTTTAAATAAGTCTGTGTCATTAAATGAATATTTAGGGAGCAAAGGCTTGTTGGAGTATTGTTTATTATTGACATAATCTTTGAACTCCTGATATATCTTCAAGTCTCTTTGTTCTTTGAGATTTTATAATTTAATCTCCTTATAATTTTATTACTTTATTCGATTCTGCCATAAGAACTAGTGCTTTAAACTATGCGAAGGCATTACAACTAATGGTTATATGGTATACTCGGATTGTTTAGGTTTTTGTTGAGGAATGAACAAGTTTTAATGATCAGAATTATCATTTTTCACATTGCAATTATTAAAAGAATTGTCGATAAAATTGTAAGAAAACTATTAGTATTTCATTTAATTTTGGATGGATTATGATTTGGCTCTATTTCTGGATTGAGATGACTTGAGTTGTCTTTATTTAATTGAACTGGATCGAGTATACTACTTTTCCAGATTTGTACTTTTTTCTTTAAGGGGTTCTGATGATATCTACTTAATTTCTTCATAGCTGATTTCATCTTCTGATATCGAAGAATCTGAGAAGCTCACATCGGAGTTCTATTCATCTATCAGAATGCTCTCAGCCCACATTTGTGCCTCAATGTTTTTAGAGAGATTGACAATTATTTGTCTTCCCATCTATCTTAGATCATTTAGTGTAAAATCCACAATTAAATTTTGGTCCTTGTAGCCAAAATATGAAATCTCAAGCGTGTAGATATTCTGTTTCATATTCAATAGTTTTTATAAAAAGACTCTGGCTGTGTGATTCAAGTATTTAGTGTTTTTCATGAACCTACTGTTTTCTAGACTGAATCTTTTATCTGAATTGCAAAGTTCAGTAATGAATTCATTGCAACTGTGACCATAAAAGAAGGCTGCCAGTCTAATTTATTAGATTTGTAATACTTTTTGCTGTGACCATGAATGTCTAAGATCAATTAGATGGGATAGTTCTCATTAAAATTAGTTATTAATTTTTCAACAGTATTTAATGTTTCATCTCTATTGCATCCCCATTTTCTGTTGAGATCAAATCCTCCTAAACCACACCGCTGATTTCCGTGGATTACTCCGTCAACATTCAGCATGGGGATGATTTTGATAACAAACCTGTTTCTCAATTCATGAGCCTCAGCTGACAATAGAGCATTGACTATGCCTTCAATAACAAAGGAGCTGGGTGTTTCTCCTGGATGCTGTCTCCCAATGAAGAGTAAGCCTTGCTTCTCATCCCTGTTGTCGTTGGTTATGGTGATGATTTGAACCTCATTGCCTGCTTGGCTGGTGACAATGCTTTTGACTTTCATAATCCTGTCGTAGACCAGATATTTGGTAGATAGGAATGTTTGGAGATTGGAGTAGGTGTAGGGATAATTGGAGGCAAAGTACACAGTTCCCTACTCCATGAAGGTGTAATTGAAGGAGAGAGAGTAGTAGAAGGAGGAGTCGTTTCTTTGGATGTGGTTTTTTTTAAAGGATAGGCCCAGAGAGTCTTTTCTCCAGGAGTTGCATTCGTTGATGAGGATTTTCATGCCTTGGCGATAGAAGCACATGTCTTTGTTGATGTTGACGATGCTGAGTCTGATGTTGTGGAGGAGGGGATTCTTGTTTGAGATGGAGAAGTAGAACCATTGTGTGTAGCCTTTAGTATTGATGTCGTTTTGAAGGAGTAGGATGTAATCGCGATCGCTTTTCTAATTAAGATGTGATAGAGGTACTTTGAAGACTTGGAATAAGTTGCCGCTTTCGAAGAGAGAGTCAAATTTGATGTCTTCGTCGCTCTGGTAGTAGTGGGAGGCATCGAGGTTGTGGTTGGGTGAGTGAAGAAGAGTTGCATAGAGGTTTGGGTTCTGTTGAGGTTGATATTTTTGGTAGATGAGTTTGAGGGGTTTGAGGAATGCTTGGAGAGTGGTCGGTTTTTGGTTGAGGAGTTCTTGTTCTTAACATTGAATGGGTGTTTTGTAGGTTGCTTCTTGTTCGTTTGGTTCCAGATGGCTAATATTTTTGAGTGGAAAATATCTACTTTTTTTTCAATGGTAATACTGAGTTTACTTTGTTGAATTGCAGTTATTAAATGAGGAGGGGATTGGGTTTTGGGAGCTTGTCTTTGATGGAGGAATAGAAAATCAAATTTTCTTTGTCTTCTTTTTTTGAAAGGTTCTTCACGTCGACTGTTTGACTTATGTTCTTCATTTTATTAACGAATAGATTTAATATAATATTAATGTGAAAAATTGACAGAAAATAATTCAGATTAATGGATGTTCGGATACAATGGATAATCGCTTTTGTCTCAGAGGTGACTTGGTCAGTAGGAGTGACTATGTTTTGATGATCATGGGTGGTGTCATATCTGAGCCATCGGTGTCGGAGTCAAGGGAACGATAGGAAAATATCAGTTGTTTTTTGGCTTGTTCAAATTTAAACTATTTTGATTAAGGGTCAGTCAAGAATGTTAAGTTCAATTCCTACAAATAAGTGACGATATCTTTTTCTTGGGGAGTAACTTCATTGAGAGAGCTCTCAAATTCAATTGTATCATTCATTTTAATAAATAATTTATTTATTTATTGTCAATTCCTCAATTTACAAGAAGTTAAATAAAACAATTGAACCTCGTCATTCATTTGAAATGAGGGAATGCTTGGATGATCGTGTAGATTGAACATCTCTCAAACGGCAATTGAAAAATGATGGTGAAATTAGATATATATATAAATGTTAATAAATTTTATTGTAATATTAATTTGATTTGATGTTCAGATAGGGACCATAAAAATATTAGCAGTTTCAAGATGAACAGAGAGTGGTATCGAACAAGCAAGAATTCCCTCAAGAAGTGTAGGCTGGCGTTCTTGGAGGCAAGGAGGGCAGTTTGGATTTTCCTTCTGACTAGATTCCTCCTGATTTTAATTTGGCTGAACTGCACAGAGTATTCTAATAGAGTGATCATTTAGGAAGCGTGGAATGTGGGAACAACGACGTTATCAAAGAGTTAATTGAGAAGTCTGAGATTGCATTAGAATGCTCCAAATGTTTCAGAAGAAGAAAAATTGGTGGGACAGATATGCAAATGCTGTGCTCGTTAAGTGCCAAAAGACAGAGTGAAAATAGATTGCAATAACTAGGATTACTCGTTTCTGGGAGCAGGTATTGATATGATTCATTTAGGTATGCCTCTGTATTTCGAATACATAAAGGCATGTATTTTAATGTTGATTGTGATGTTTGTAACCTCAGGAGATTACAACATTATCACCAACATTGCCTTCGGTTAATCATGTTAAACTTTGGATAAGAGCATTGGAATTGAGATCGACGAGAAAGCAGTTTGCATATTCAATTGGGTGACAGGGTTGTCCTTGGCTAACAAAAGGGAAGACTAAGAATTTATCGACTTGCAATAAATGCTCAATTTGATATCCATGTTGACACTCATCATCTTGTTTCAATATTTCAGGAAAGAACAAAGAGCCTTCGACACTGAAATTGATTCCAGCACTTACTATGCATCCGATTATACAATTCTGTTGAAGAACATTCCCACTCACACTGAGGGGTTGAAAAACGATGACTTCGATCAAGATCTTAAGGACTACCTCGAAGTCTACATTGAAAGAACCTATGAAAAGCCAAGTGAAGTACTGGATTATGAGGAAGAACTCCGATAATTTTTATAAAGAAATAATAGACCAGAAAAGAAACTATCAAGAGTGGTGGCAGTTAACTTGTGTTACAACATCGAAGAACAAACAATATTAGAGTAGGAAAAGCAAAGCAAGATCGCTCAAAAGTAAAAGGTATGGATAATCTTCAGTATTTTAGTTGTTACCTGAATTGTATGATCAAGGTCTGTTGCCAGGCAGTGAGGACATAAACAAGGATGAATAGATTAAAGAAATAGATGCTCAAATAACTGAGATTGAGTCAAAGTTGGAAGCCTTGGAGAAACGATTTGTTGAAGGAAAAGATGTTAAATAATATTTCTTGGGATAAGCATTTGTTACCTTCAGATGGGAGAGTGATGTCTAATGGATGTTGATTGATCATAGATTGTCCTTATGTTCCAGAATTCTAGGCAGAAAGAGCAACTTAATCTACAGAGGTTCATAATTGCAAGTGGAATAACCTCCAGAACCAACAGATGTCTTTTGGGAAAATTTGCATATCCAAACATATTAGAAGATATGGAGAAGAATCCTAGGATATTTCCTTACCTTCATCATCCTGGGAGTCTGTGGTGGATTGATCTATTGGTTATCTGCTGTTCAAGCTCAGAGTGCTGATGAGTAGGCAAAAGCAGTGAAGAATGGAGATTTAAATCCTAATTATAAAGTTAAAGTGATAGCATAATTGGCATCCATTTCAATCATTGTTATTAATTACATCCTCAGTGTTGTGATAAGGAAGGTCTCCCTTTTTGAAAGATTCTCAACTCAAACAGGATTCAACATCAGTCTAGCTAGTAAATCTAGTCTTGCCTAATTTGTTAACACTGCAGTTATCACATTTGCCATCAGCACTTGGGTCACTAAAAATATATATGGCACAGGAGGATTGGTTTACAATTAGACTTATGTGTTCTTATCTAATGCGATCTTACCAGCTTTAATTCAACTGATTGATTCATCCAGCATTTTGAAGTGGCTCTACTAATTTTTTGAATTACGAAAGGGCAAGTCTTCAGTCAAAACATAAAAGCAACTCCATGAGTAAACATTATACTACAATTCTTAGTTTATTCGAGAGACCAGTCTTTGATATATCTACATCCTATGCAACAGTCTTGAAGAACATGTACGTTGTCGCATTCTATGCCTCTGTCATTCCTATTGGTTTAGTAATCACATGTTTTGCTTTACTCTTTTTTTATTGGGTTGAAAAATACAATATTGCCAGAAGAAGAACAATTAAGTACAATTATTCTTCAGTTCTCTCAAGGGAAATGATCGAATAATTAGAATATGTCCTGCCAATTTATTGCGTATGAATCCCTCATTCTATATCTAGTTAACAAATCTGTGGTGGGAATATACCTTCTTGTAATCAATCTCAACAGAGGCTATCATCGGTGTGTGCTTTGGAATTGCCAATGCCCTTCTGCCAATGCATGAAATCAATAAGTTATTGTTCCGCATGAAGGCTAAACCCAATGAGCATCTACCCATCAATGAGGCTGAAGTCGGGTTCTTGACTGTACTCCCTATATCATTATATTTCAATATAGGATTATTGTAGAGAGAATCCTGCCACTGCTGAAACTGAGAGGGCCAGATATTAGGAAAGAGTAACTAGACATCAGAAGGATAGAATTGCTATGGAGTAAATGTTTGAATAATGATAATGATAATGATAAAATATATAAATTAAATTCATTATTGAATTCGTAATTGAAGTTGATACCTGTTTCGATTGCTATTGAAATGCCTTTAATTAACCACAAATAATTTTAATAGAAGAACAATTTTATAAATTCTGATTTAATAAATGACTCAATCATTCTTTCTTTGCGTGTTCTTCAGTCCAATATTGTTAGAGCTTTTGGCTTCCGTGATCAGGAACCATAGTTGGTTTTCCTGGTTTCCATGAGGCTGGGCATACCTCACCGTGTTCGTCAGTGAATTAAAAGGCTTATACCAATCTAGAAATTGAATCTACGTCATTCATTACCTCAATGTTTCATCGACATTTCTTCCGACTGGCAAATCATTGACTGAATAATGTCTGAGAACACCATTCTTGTCAACTATGAATGTACCTCTGAAGGCCACTCCGAAATCTCCATCTTAAGGATCATCGATCAGAACTCCATAATCAGCAGAAATAGTCTAGAATATTCTTTACTAAATTGGCTACCTTTGCGATGTCAGCAATCAAAGGAATTTGCATATCGCCCAATCCTCCTTGATTTCTTGGGGTTTGGCAATACTTCATGTGAGAGAAACGTGAATCGACTGAAACAGCAGCAACCTCGCATCCAATCTTTCTGAATTCCTATGTGTTAAGAATGAAATAGGTACTTCAGCTCTGTCAGAAAAAGCGATGATCTCAGTTGGGCAAACAAAAGTGAAGTCCAATGGATAAAAGAATAAGACCAAGTATTTGCCTTTGAAATCGGAAAGTGACACCTTCTTGAATGATCCATTCAAGTAAGCTTGGGCTGTGAAATCTGGAGCGGGTTTTCTAATTTTCAGCTTTTAACTCATATCTTATTTATATGTTTGCACAAAAATATTATCTCCCTATATACAGGGTGACGACAATTTAATTTAATTACGATTGAGTTAATATGTAAAAGAATAATCCAATAAAATTAGAAAACCTCTCCAAATTTTAGTGGAGAAGCCTATCACAAGGTAGTAATCAAAAAGTTAATTGAATTCATATGTGCTAGGTTTTTCTGAAAGATTTTAAGGCAAATATAAATTGTTGTTTTTTATCCATTTGATTTCACCTTTGTCTGTCCAACAGAGATCATTGGCATAGTCGAGGCATTTATATAGATCTTAATATGCCTTATAGGAATTCAGAAAGATTGAATGAGAAGTAGTGGGAATATCAACAGATTCGAAATTCTGT